GGTGCTTTTTAATGTTCAATTTCCCTTGCAGGTAGAAAACTCAGTGCATGAGTCATCTACTCCTCTGCTACCATCAGTTCTCAACCACCTATCACTGACCTGCACAACTGTACAAGACCAGTAAATACTGGTAGGTTGAATGCTCCCCGACCAGGGTAGCCTGGAGTGGGTCTGTACCTGCAGATTCAGATTCCTCGATGACAGAACACCCAACCTTCATCTCATCTCCTTTGGCTTTCAAGTTAAAGGATGCATTCTCCCTGTTACATTCTGCATTGATAACTTTGCTCTCGATATCTGAAAAGAGAAAGGGAGAGTTTCATTAGTCCACTCAGAAAGTGTATCTAGAATTTGATCTCTAATCCAAGAAAGATGCACAGCTGTACTTACAAGTAAATGGGATAAAAGAAGACCATTTCGCACGGGGAACACTTTGAGCTCCCTGATCAATGATGACCGGGACATTAGCATGCAACAATTAGAACCTTGGATACAGCTTACGAAGTGAGCTTTCACAGCTGGGGTGATAGTTCATTTGGTAAACTGTTTGCCTTGAAAGCATGAGGACCCAAGTTCCATTCTCAGAATCCACATTTTTTTAAGAAGCCAAGCATGGCAGTGCATGTCCAGTACTGTGGAGATGGAGACATCAGATCCCTGGAGCTTGTTAGCCTGCCACCTTAGCTTACTTCAGGGGTTCCAGACAGTGAGAGACACTGTCTCATAAACAAAACAGTGTCGGGGACTAGGGAGGTGGCTTAGAGGTTGTGAGCACTGGCTGCTCCTGCAGAAGGCCTAGGTTCAGTTCCCAGCACCTACATGGAAATTGACAATTATCTGTAACTCCAGTTCCAGGGGATCTGACACTCTTCTAGCCTCTGGGGACATTGCACATATGTGGCGCTCTTACATACATGCAGGCAAGACACTCATGCTCATAAAATAAAAATAAAATCTTTAAAAACAACCACCACACTGCCCAAGTGCTATTTCCTCACCACACTATATGACATAGCAACTCTTTCTCAAGTCTTCTTTAACTTTCTTAGTCTGTTGTACTTTTCCTAATAATTCTATGTCTATATGGGCCAAACTCACCAAAATATAAGACTCCTGAGAGATGTTTTGGAAGCTGATAAAATATTACATGCATTTCTGTTCCCTCGTTCTGAGCAGCTATCACAATCTTCTCAAGTTCAAGTGACTGACAGGCACAGAAACTGCTATTTGGAATGAAGAGCTGCAGAAAAGTGCAACAGCACCTAATAATCCCAAATGGCCAACTATCAAGTATGTATCAGTCAGGGAAGAATCTACCATGCTGCAGTAACAAACAGCCCCAAGTCTTCATGGATTATAAATAACATTGATGTCTCAATAATGCTTTGTGTTCTTCATTAATTGATTTGGGCTCTGCTCTTCATTATTCTAACTCTTGGACACAGATGAAGTAGCTGACAGTTACTAAGGTAGAGTGAAAGAATGTTCTAGAACAGTGACATGACACAGTTGCAAACCCCACTCCTAATTCTACACCAAGAAGTACAGTCCTCCTGTGGTCTCAGAAAGGAAAACTGGAATTCTTTAAAGAAAATGAATCTCAAACTTTACACCATATAGTAGGCAATCATAAATGTTTGTTAAATGAATTAACAGCATACTCAGCATGGTGTCTGACCTTGGCCAAGTGATTAGTAAGTGGGAAATGTCATTCATACTAGACCTGCTTTGCTGTGAAATGGAGTTTTCGAAATAGCAAAAGTGTCTGAGAAAATCTTGGAAAATCCAACTGCCAAGGGTGCCCCTGACAGTCTGAAGGGTGTGTGTTACCTAGGTACTCTGTCTGAATAGTCTGACTGGCATTCCCAGAGGGCTTCAGAAGAGCAGCTAATGTCGTGCTTTCCACAGACTCCAGTAAGACAGTGCCCAGGGTGGATGTCTCCTCCTGAGTGAGCTTGGTCCATGTGGGTGTGTTGTTAAGCACAAGCGAAAATCTCTTAGCTGTACTCTGCAAGAAAAAAAGTGTTTGTTCATATTCTCTCTGCCTCCTCCTCCTCTTCCTCCTCCTCCTCCTCCTCCTCCTCCCTTTCCTCTCCTATCATTAACAGGGTAACTTGTGCCCTCTTTCTCTTCAGGAAAGGAAATTAAGATTGAGGCCAAAGGAGAATCAGGCAGGCGGGCTTGGTGAGGTGCTCCTGTAATCATGGGACTCGGGAGGCTGAAGCAAGGGGTCAAGGCCATCATGGACTACACAGCAAGTCAGAAGCTAGCCTGAGCTACGTAAGAGTCCATCCCATGAAACAAAAAGAGCCCAAGGCAGGGCCCACTCAGTCCCCATCTCCTGAGTCAAGAAGCCCTGTTGGGAATTCCTGAGAAGTCAGTCTTGCCTGTCAAACATGGTAAGTTAGTACCGGTAACAGCCTGCAATTCCACATGCTCTTTGACCCAGAGGTTTCTTTTCCAGGAATTAACTCTTCCAGAAATACTTAGAAATTATGCAAGGACCTTGCACAAGGGTAATCATTTCAAAATGATTTCTGAAATATTACGTTCTCAAGAAATTAGTTAAATAAACTAAAGGTGAAATCCAATAATATGACATTTCACAGGTGTTAGAAAAGAATGCTGTAGTGTATATGCATAAGACAGGCAAATGATACCTACATATGCCAGCAGGGGCAGGGTCTGTGAGCTGTGCAGCTGAGAAGGTTAGAGGCATGTTTAAAAGGATCTCGGGTGGTTTAGAAGCTACTACATTAATTTTTATTGAAGTTTTGGAAATTTTCATATAATATATTTTGATCAGGACTGGAGAGATGACTTGGGGGTTCAGAGCACTGGCTGCTCTTGCAGAGGACTCAGGTTTTGTTTCCAGCATGCACATGGCGGCCAACAACTGTCTGTAACTCCAGTTCCAGGGGGATCTGACACCGTCTTCTGGCCTCTGCAGGTATTGTATGCATGTGGTACACTTACATACATGCAAGCAAAACACTCATAAACATAAAATGGGTGGCACTGTAAATATAGCCAAATGTGCATGCTGGAGAAGTCACAGATACTAGAGAAAACCCTATCTATGTCATATCTCCAGACAAATGAAATAATTTCTTACTGTATGCTAAATGTGGATCCTTACATTTACAGACAAGCATACCATACACCACTCACCAAACTTCTTTTTGTAACAGATAGAGGCTATTACAGAATTCCACAACTGGCCATACACAGAGGACATATGTCTGAGAGATGCCCAGCCCTAAGTGACACATCTACATGTAAGGCTCATGGAACACAGCAGAACATGGGGTAGAGGGAATACCAATGCATCCCTCAGCTCTCACCAGCAAAGCTTCCTCATACAACAGTGTGATGCACACAGAAGGTCACAAATGGTCAAGGTGTAGAGAATAAGAGATTGCAGAGTGCATGTCCCTGGATAGGACCCCTATATTAAACTCACCCACCCATGGGTGAGGGACCATTGCAGAAGAGGGAGTGGAAAGATTGTGAGAGCCAGGGTTGGTACATGAACATAAGGAAACAGAGGCTTTCAGGCCTCTGGGAACTTGCTCATATGAACTTGCAGCAATAGCGACAGCATGCACAGACCCATGCTGACTAAACCAGACAAAACCCAGCATAGAATATGGGAAATGAGCAGCAGGCTCCAACCTTAGCCAAAGAACTCTTGGTAACTGATTAGTGTGGGGTGAGGGAGAGTTGGCATTCATTAAGGGATTAGCTCTAGATTGGCTGACCAGACGCCAGTGGATGAACTTGCACTGAGGGGCATCTGGGTACAAATGCTTGACTGGATAGGGCTGAACATATGAAGGGATGCATGAAATCTGGTTGGGGGGTCTGCGGGGGAACAGATGGGAGAGGGGATCTAAATTTGATTAAGATCTATTATATGAAATGCAAGAAAACTGAATAAAAATGTACATTAAAAAAAGAGAAAATACCCCACAGATGTGGCCACAGGCCAATGTAATGGAGGCAAAAATTAAATAAATAAATAAATAAATAAATAAATAAA